TTTTTTAATTTTCTGTCTTTGTTCATTATTTCTTTTCGTCCGTTGGTTCTGAAACGATCAAACCTTTTCCGTCAGCAAATGATTTATCTCTCTCTTTCTCATCCTGCAAACTGTCTAGCCAGCGTGGCCCGTATTTCTCCGGACTTCTGTACGCTTCGAATTTCGTAATTTCACGTTTTTCCTCCATTTTCTCAAAGAAAGTTGGCTCGCAGTTTTGCACTAAAGTTAATCCTCGTCTCCAGTGTTGATGCCTTCGAATTATATCGCATCACGAATCGAATCAATCAACGAATTGTATCAGTTTGATACGCCTGTGCTTCTTCGTATCCACAACTCTAAAAACGCTACATCCGGGTACTTGACCGGCTTGTCATAAAAAGCGGAATTTAAAAATAGCGGAACGAGTACTTAGCTCTAAAAAGTTAACAGTTCATTCAAATGTCAAGTCCAATTTATATCAAATTGTGCAAATATGATGAGGGGACTTTGAAGAAAAGAGAGAAAGAGAGGGATAAATCAAAATTGATCAAATGACGTTAGTTCAATGCATTCAGCTCACTTGTCAATAAAAAAAATAGACAAAAATTAAATAATTAAAATAATAAAATAAATAAATAATAAAATAAATGACATCACCAAATATTGGCTTGATGGCAATATATATATTGATTTTTCTGTATAGGCTTCAAATAACTGTCACCTGCGGTCTGTCGTCGCGGTCGGCATGCATACTGTCTCAAGTTGAAATGCAAAAACTGAATCCATGTTGAATTAACATCTTTAACTAATTATAAGTTACCTCTTGAATAGTCATTATGTTAACTTGAAATGCCAAAGTTGAATCAATGTTAAAACCTGACCAGAAAATCAATGTTAGGAGGAATAATTGAATCAATGTGAAAAATTTACTCAAACATCAACATTCAAAAATGCAAGTTGAATAAGGTTGAAATAATGTAGGTTTATCAACTCAATCTTACTTCAAAGTTGAATCAATGTTGACATGCCAATGTTGAATTTGTTGTCGTTGAATCAAAGTTGAATCAATGTTGAAATGCCAACGGTGAATTTGTTGTCATTGAATCAAAATTGAATCAACGTTGAAATGCCAACGTTGAATTTGTTGTCGTTGAATCAACGTTGAATCAATGTTGAAATGTCAACGTTGAATTTGTTGTCGTTGAATCAACGTTGAATCAACGTTGAAATGCCAATGTTGAATTTGTTGACGTTGAATCAACGTTGAATCAACGTTGAAATGCCAACATTGAATTTGTTGTCGTTGAATCAACGTTGAATCAACGTTGAAATGCCAACGTTGAATTTGTTGTCGTTGAATCAACGTTGAAATGCCAACGTTGAATTATGGTCGTTGAATCAATGTTGATTCAACGTTTATCAACGTCTCAACGTTGATTCAACGTTGATTCAACGTTGAATCAACGTTGTGTGCCTGCTGGGAAGGTTTTTCTTTTGTTTGTTTCCAAAAGTGTTAGTATCAGTTTGTAGTCTAGTCAGCCCTTCATAGTTAACACCCACTTTGAACGGTCTATACCTTCAGCAGGGAAAATTGTGATGTTTCTTGCTTAGGGGGGGCGTTTAGCCCCGGTCTACCCTACTGTATGGTTGACAAACATTACCCAAAGTTTGCAGGCAAAAATCGGCGTTATTTACGCCTGCATATATACAGAAGTTATTTACATCTTGGACATAGTAACAAAGTTATGTCGTTATTATGTCCAAGTAGTTTACATTTATGAAGTTACGTGCGTAGGCCTACATTGCAGAATGGAGTAGCCTAAATGACAGTAAACGATAGTAAATTGTATGTCTTGTTTGAAAACCTAATAAACAAATAAATAAATAAATAAATAAATAAATAAATATCAGGTTGTAATCAAGTCAGATCACTAAGTGGGTCAGTAGGCCCTACTCACAGCCAGACTACAGTAGGCCTATCACTCGAAAGCCTCATATCTGTAGGCTATCTCAAGTAGGCCTAGATATCGGCATTTCAGCCGATTACGATGTCAGATATCTATCAGTAGCCAGTATAAAAAAGTTAGAAATCGACATCGGAAACTGACAGTAACAAGTGCAGACGAGAACGGACGGTAAACGTCTTAAAACTTGCTTGAATAAACGTAAGTATATTATTAATTTTATCAAATTTAAGAGCAACGAACTTTCAAACGCTTCTATTGTATAGCGCGTTTGATACATTGTAGCAGACGCTTGAAACTTACGTGGCAACGGGGATTTTTTACGCTCTGCATGCTGGGTAAAAAAGGCAAACTGTCTTCCAGGAAAGAACGAGTTCAACGTATGTTTCTTATCTGATGTGAATAGCACAAGCTACCAGTATTTAGTGCGTACACAGTAAGTGACTGGCCGACCACCTGATTGCTTTCTGTTAATATTTACACATGTACAGAAATATCAGACAAGATATGGGGAAATTCTCCGTCATACCTCTGTTTAGGTCGACTGAAGTACCTGTCGAGCGGCAACGACGGTCAAGTGACTACACTGATGATTCTATATTATGATATACGAAGTTACACATTAACAATGTGACAGGTCTTCTGAACTTAATGAGAAAAGGTCTGTATGCTGTGAAACAATACCCTTGGTACATTGACCGTCAGTTATTTTGTAGGAAAACTTATTGAAGGTACCCTGAGTGTCAGAGCAACGTAAAAGCTATAGCTTGTTAAATATAGGCCTACCTTGTGATGGAGTCGCTTTTACTACCGGTATTGTTGATATGGGTTATATATGAAATCAAGATCGAGCTGACAATACCGGAATCTAGAACCTAGGGTAATTGAAGGCCATGTCTAGTGTAACAGTGCTGCTTTTTCTTCTCATCTCCACCTTCTCCGTGACTTTCGATTTTGCGGAGTGGCTGGGTGAAAAGGAAAAACGATATAACAGTAAAAACTCCCAAATTATGTTGACAGCTGTAATGTCACTAGCAATACTGCTTCTGGCTATTGACATGACAATTAGAAAGTGTTCTGAGCAGGATTGGGGGCATCAGGCAGATGTTTTAAACAAACAGACTCGGCGCAAGGAATTAGCTGAATTGGAAGAGAGCGAGGATGAATATCAAGAGGCCCTTACTGACGTAATACCTGACGAGGAGGAAAGGGAGACTCAGGGTAAGTTGATTTTAAAACATGAAGTAATTAATTTGTTTCTTTCTTTCCTTATGTATTCAATCATTGATTTATTTTTCATTTATTTACTTACTAATTAGGAGACCAGAATTGTGCCGGCAGGACCGTACAGCAGAGAATTGCACACTTTCTGAGCAATTACTTGTCGACTTTTGGTGTATTTGTCTTTGGAGTTGGCAGTCTTATCTTAGCCAGTCTTTCCATTGCGGAACAAGCAGTATGTATGCACATTTATCTGAATCTGAATTATTATGATGATAAGGTGAGCAACGCTGCACAAATTCAACAAGATCTAAGGTCATGGACTATCGTGTATGAGACGTTCAAGGTATTGTTCTTCACAATTCAGCTTACATTTCTACTAACGGGGTTTAGCATGAGGAAAGACCTTTTTGCCACCTTAGGAATTACAGTAACTTTAAGTGCCAATTTAGGCGTTTGGTGTCAAACCTTTCTTACTAACTGTAATATACTGGCTCACTCTGCCTACGACCCCTTTCGCGATGTTAATTTGACGGACTATCCGCTACAGAACGAAACCAGGGAGTGTTTCAACAATACAACGCCCATGAACCAAACTATGAATTCGAACGTTCGCCCCATGTTGTTTCCACTTACACTTCAATTCACCCTTCTAGCCACGAGAATGCTGTTGGACCTATGGCACAGCAGTGAGACCAACACCGGTTCTTTGGATAACGAAGGGCAGCAGTCGATTAATGATGAACGGCCAGCGGTTGGTGTTGACCGCCAAGATGGTATGATAACGGTGAATGGTCAGGCAGGACATATTGCCAGTGGTGATATGCATTGGGCAAAAGGTGCGCTGCTTGTAACCTATATGTTTTTCTCTCATGGCGTTTTTGCCGTGGTCGTTGTTACTGGATATGTTGCCGTATATTTTGTATATCTAACCTTGTGTATCCTGAAATTAATTCTTTTAATGAAGCAGAGGCAGAAAAGTATACTGTGATCATGGTATGTTACAGAATAGCTTTTGTTGCATACAACACAATCGTGTGTCTTGTCGGCGGCATAGTGTTGTTCTGCCAAAGCGATTCCAACGAACAAAGCAACCGTCTCTCGGACACATTCCTCATCACCGTTTCTGCAGTCGGCGGATGGACGTTTAATTTCTTTGCCTTGACCAGCGAGTTTTCAGTTCCCAACGATACACCCTCTAGAAGTTTGCCTATCCTAAGCAACTTTTTTGACATAATTCAGATTTTCTTCCAAGCTTTCCTAATTCTGCACTGCCTTCGTTACCAGTACAACTTTTCTCACATCAAACTGAAAGATGTTTTTAGGCAATCAGTGGCTTGTTTGACAATGACAAATTTCGGTTGGTGGATAGTGGACACGTTCTTTGCGCTGAAGTATCACCTCACTCACGCGCAGATGTTTGATTTTTACGGAGAAGAGCTGTGGGGTCTGATCACTCATTTCGCATACCCTCTGATTCCGTTCTTTCGCTTTCAGTGCGCGATGCTCTTTTTGAAAATATACCAGTCGGTTACGTAACACCAGCAAGTTGACAGGTAG